GGAGAAAGATTTTCAGTTCACCAAGACTTCAGGCAGCACAAAACAAATAGATGTGTTTGTATTGTTGGCTAAGTGAAAACTAATCCTAAGAAAACTACTAATAATCTGCTGATTGTGGCAGTAATTATTTCTGAATAAGTTCCGTTAAAGTTTGTGGTACGTAATTATCATTAGACCTAAATACGGGGCCCAATCAGCTTTCCTCATAGTCTGCTCAGGATAAATTCCATCTTTTCTATAACCTAGCAACCCCACTGATCATGAGGGCTAAAAATTGACTCCATTGGGTCTTCATATTTTAAGCAAGGGAACACATGAAATTACAAATTCTACTCCAAAGTCTGTCCCAGCCTTATGTATACTGCAGACTCATTATCTGTAGGCATCCTCTCCACCCTAAACCCCTGGCTCTTTGCATAGGGTCTTGGCTAGTGAGGAGAATCAACAATGGACCATGCACAGTAACTGAATACTCAGTTCTGAAATCTCTTGCAAAGGGAGTTTTTAAGGAAGGGAGGGACGAGATTCAGATTCAGTAGAAGCTGCCCCAGCAGAACTTGTGGAATATCAACTTCAGGAGGAACCAGGCCAAGAATCACATAAAGCTGATCTATCACAGACACCATCTGGATATTTAGAATAGTTAGATGATGGTTGATGACATCAGGTGTCTCAGCCCATCCCCAGCCCAGAAAGGAGATTGAAGAGCAGAACAACATTGATCTATGTGGCTTCTTTCCAAACAAAGGAGTAACCCTCTTAATTAATGAAAACTGACTGCAACTTTTAGGAAGCAACTCTGATCATCTTCTCTTTGCTGGATCAACGTGTCTTGTGTGACACTCTTATAAATCCTGGTTATATTTGAAACCTTGAACATCTAACCTCTTGACAAGGTTGACAACCCTGATGTGGCTTTTAGAACCCAGAACTGGATTTGAACTATTCTTCAGATGCAGTCCCGCTAATAGCAAATCATTTAAGCAAGGACCTGTCAGAGACTCTGTCCTGGTTTGCATTATTTTCACTGGTGGGATTCAAAAATGTTTGCTATCGGTTCAGTGGGCATGGCTTGGTGGGCATGGTGTGGCTTGGTGGGTGTGGCAGGGGAAAGATACTGTAAAATCTCCATTCCCACCTTATTCCAAGGGAAGGTTACTGTAAAATCCCCATTCCCTCCCAATCAGCTGGGACTCGGGAAGGCAGAAAATAGATGGGCTGGGGCCAATCAGAGGTGGTATTTACCGGTTCTCTGAACTACTCAAAATTTCTGCTACTGGTTCTCCAGAACTGGTCAGAACCTGCTGAACACCATCTCTGATTCGTTTGTTATCTCGTTAATCTTGAAGTAAAATTACTAATCTCCCTAGCAACCATGTTGGAGTTTGTGTGATTGGAATCTGAAGCAGGACAAAGTGTCATGACTTTTCAATCTTCTGACAGTGTTTCCTCCTTCCTCCCTAGTGTCATTATAGCAAAGTGGCCCCAACCAGCTATTTATTGTTTCTTGACAGTAATGTTTTCTCACCTTAGTTAGACAAATCTATCCTCAACTAGTGATCATACTCAGTCCCTTTGGTTCAGCCCAACCTACCTCACAGAATTGTCCACATCTGGAAAAAAATGGAATGAAGGAATGCTGCATACACCATGTTGGATCCTGAAGGAAAGGCAGGATAGAAATCTTATCATAAATATTATAGGGATTCTGGTATTAAGTCTACTGTAGTGCATGAAAGTCAGTGCATATGGTTGTCTATGAAGACTGTCAGTCATCCAGGTTATGGTTGTTCCAAAGGTGATTTTTTCAAGAGGCAACTGGACTGTCTTTGTTTTTCCTTGAAGATGTTTCACTTCTGATCCAAGAAGCTTCTTCAGTCCTGACTGAATAATGGTGAATGGAAGGATTTATATTGCTTGCTATCGTTGAGGCCATTTGGAGGTTTATCTGTATTCTCAGGGTCACCTGAATTGTGCAAATGGGTGTGGAACTTTCTTGGAACTGCTGAAACAACACAATCCTTTCACCAGTTCCAAGAAAGTCCACACCAATTTGCACTATTCAGGTGACTCTGAGGTACAGATAAACCTCCAAGTGGCCTCAACGACTCTCAGAGAGAGTGCTAATAATCAGATGACTGCAAGGAATATCAATCTTTTCATTCTCCACCAATCGGAACTGAAGAAGTGTCTTGAATGAGAAGCAAAATATCTTCAAGGAAAAACAAAGAAAGTCCAGTTGCCTCTTGAAAAAGCACCTTTAGATCAATTGATGTAACGTGTACAGAACATAGAGCTATGGTTCAGCAGTAGGGACAGTTCTTCCTTTCACAAAATTGTACATTTCTTTCTAGAACTCAAAAAGTTTCTTAAGAGAACTCAAATAAGTCTAATGACAGTTGCCAATGTGACTCGACATTCTCAATAAAATCATGCAAAATGGTACATCCATCAGCACTTCCCAATTAGAGATTTATATGAAGTTATTCCCATAAGAGTTGCACTGGTTATTTCAAGTCATGTCAGAAATGTATTATTCTCAGATGAAAGGGACAAATTAGCTGGAGAGGGTGCATGTCAAGTAAGAGAATAAAATTTGGTAGTTATAATCCAGATTTGGAATAATGGGTAAAAAAAAAGTTTAATACACATTTGCTCAAAGCCCAGGTCATTCAAGCTAAAACTGTTTACAAGTGAAATGGAGTGCTACCAATAAGTTTTTAATTTTAAGATTGAAAAGTAGCTATTAAATTAATTACAGTTGATGAAAAAATATTTTAGTCAGCAGAAGATCTGCAATGAATCTGATTTCCTTATTGTTATCTCAGAATTACACAGGCAATAAAGTTGAATGTGCTGTAATTAAACATTGATTGGTTTGATGATAATACTCTGAAATAAATAGCCAATCACTAATGTACATTATATGCACCATATAAACTACTTATCAATAGACCTGAGGTCTGTTTTCTTACTCCTCCTTACTGAACATTAGCTGAATGGAACTTAGAATATAAAAAATACTGTCCAGGAAAAGTCCAGGAAAAATGAATAACAATATATGTGATATTGTACATGACTTCATGGACAAATACTGTATATATTGTTCATATAATATGTAACTGTTAAGGCATAACATCTGCATTTTTGTCTAAATATTTAAACTCCCTTGCATATTTTGTATTTCAAAACAGATTAAGTAGAAATGTCTCATACAACATTTTGTTTCAGGAAAAAATATATTTATTTTTGGTAATCTAAAAAAATACATTGTTTTTTTTCTCTATTATTATTTTGTGTTGAAAAACAATTTTCTCACTAAGCAGAAATTTTTCCCAGTACGTAGAAATTGGGAAGGATGGACAGTGTTGGCTAGAATATCAGTTACATGGTTGTTTTGTCATTGACAACAGAAAATATGGGGTAGTATAGAAAAATAATAACAGAAATTTTAAAGAAATTTTAAAAAGGCTACCAATGTTAATGGTAGATCTTGTGAGAACAACTTCTCAGAAATAAACCTCCCCACCTCATTCCAGGGAAAATTCAATCAATGATATATTTCTATCACTTACAGGTAGTCCTTGACTTACAACCATTTCTGAGTTAAAAATTACAATTGTAAGTTATGTTGGTCATTAAGTGGGTCAGCATGTGCCTGTGCCTGATTTTATGACCTTTTTTGGATGCAGTTATATCATTAAGTGACCCCCATTATAATAAATGTCCCAAGGGTGCTTTTTCAGGAGGCAACTGGACTTTCTTGTTTTTTCTTTGAAGATGTTTCGCTTCTCATCCAAGAAGCTTCTTCAGCTCTGACTGGATGGTGAGGAATGGAAGGATTTATACTCCTTGCAGACAGCTGTTCATTTGCATCCTTTTAGCTGATTGTTGAGGTCATCTGAA